TTGAAATAGCCCCAATTATATTTTCTTCAGTTATTGTTACATCATCATGTTTTGTACACGGGGGAATTCTCTGATTTTCTTTACGATGTGTTATTTTTGGAGTATTCAGTACTCTTTCGAAGTGGTTTGCGAATTCTGAAGTAATAGATTCTTTGTCTTTTTTATTATTTATGGTAAATAATCTAGAATTTATGTCTTTGTTTAAACATCTAAAAGCATTCCAAAAGTTTTTTGGTTTAGTATTTTTTAACTTTTCAATTTTATTATATTGTGCGCAAATTTTATTATTTTGAGCCGACTTGACGGCTTTACGAAAGTTTTTACGAGCCATTTGGTAACGGTTAAATGATACCGAGTTTAACTCTTTAGAAAAACCAGAATCTCTTCATTTTTTAAAATGAATTGAAAGAATAGTTTTAGACCGACTTAATTCAGGTGTCCACCAAGATTTTGAATACAAACATTCCTTTTTATTTTTTAAAGTCTTCTTAAAAGCTATTTGAGCGCTGTCAGTAATTTTTTTATAGATTTGGAGAAGGTCGTATTCATAATCGTTAGTAAAATTAAGATTGTTAAAGCGATTGGTTAAATGAACATTGTAAGAATTTATAAAGTTAGAATCGTTCCAAGCGTAGCTAGGTATATTAGTATCTTCTGCTAGTTCAATGGTATTACATTCGGTGTACTTAACTTCAACTGATATTGATACTGGTAGGTGGTCGCTCAAATTATTTGAGCATTCAGGATGAACAATGCATTTAAGATTTATAAAACTTGTATATTTTGATACGGCGAAGTGATCAATATATGACGAATTCGGTAGTGTCTGGTGTCAATATGTATAATTAGGGCCAGAACCTTTAGTTACATCTACTAGTTCTAATTGATTTGTTTTTAAAAATTCCGATAAGTGCACAGAATAACTATTCCTTTTAGAATTTGATCTTTCAAATAAATCACACATTTGGTGTGGAAAGGATTGGAAGTCACCTCCTAATATTATATTGCCGTTGCCTATGATATATATGATACATATGATACATATACGTATAGTGTTACATACAAGGTAAAAAATAATATCAAACAAAGTTGCTTGGTAGGATATACTGAGGTAATTCCACCTCCTACTTCTAAAAAATCCTTAAAAATCACTAAATAAAATAAAAAACAAGAAAATAGCACAGGAATTACTTTTATTTACAAATTTAAGCAAACTGTTAATATAAAATTAAAATTCAAAAAAATATTTTAAAAACAAAATTGTGGTAATTTCCACTCGTTTTCAAAATAATTTAAATTGCATTTTTGGTATAAATTTTTTAGACGAAATAATGTAAACATGATAAATAATAAGTAAAAATAAATTTTGAACCAAAATGTCCTAAAAATAATAATATTTATAAATAAACATGAAGGATTTCTGAAAAAGCATTTTTTTTAATTTTATGTTAGCGGGGAATGGATCGCCTACAAAGTCAGAATTACTGGCATCTTTTTTAGATATTTGCCAGCATTTTAAGCAGCACCACTTATTGCAAAGGTCATACATAATGCTTAGACCGCAAACTTGGTCTAAAAATGGGTCATCCACATTTACCCCACAAATTATGCATAAAATTGGTTTGTCTGCGCCATCACTAACTGTTGCTTTTTTCTTGTCTTTCCTCTTTCTTTTACCTGAAATAAAAGCGAGTTTCAGCTTGGTTTTAGCCTGATTTTCTTCAGTGAACCTAGCAATGCATTCATCTGAAGTGAGGCTTTCGCCATACTGTCTTTTATTGGCTTTCCTCTCGTCTCCATTTGCCACTTCCTTAGTTTTTTAAGAATAGGTGTGAGTTTTGGCCCATGACTAAAATTGATTTATTTTGGTTGAAATTATGAATAATTTTTTTTTTTTTATTATTTATTTAATTTGCCGTTGATAAATATTACAAAAAAGAAATTACAATAAAAGAAAATCCTGGCCGAAGCAAGAAGAAAACAGGTTGTCTTATCACCGAGCCCCGTCACACAAAAATTTACATGCACAATAAATGATAAAAGACAAAAAGACAGTAAAAATACAAAAAAAAAAACAAATCAAAAACTTCAGCAATAAAATAATTTGTTGCTAACAATCTTCCAGCAGAATAATTTTAAAAATAAAAAAGTAAAAACGACAAAAAGTTATAAAAACCCACAAAAAAATGTGTTGTTTAATTAAAAAAAAAAAAAAAAAAAAAAAGCAATATATGTAAACATATGTATTATTAGCAAAAACACAAAGTGCAAGTATTGTAACAATTGCATTTTGAGTTTTTGCTACGAGTTTTGACTTTTTGCTGCAATTTTTTTTGTACATAAGTATTAATTATTACGCGTATAAACCCATTGCATCTCGACGAAATGCCAATAAAACAAAAATTTTAACTTGGATTAAGTTAAAGTGAAAATACCTCGTGGATTCGAGTTGCCAATAAGAAAAAACAAATTTTAACAAATAGTGCAGTCAGTTAGTGCAAACTTTGTGCACCAATTGACCGCACTATCGTAAAAGCATGAAGCTAAGCGGACATGTTGATAAAGTTAAAACATTCATTTTTTA